CTTTTTTCTTATTTTCTTTAACTGTTGTTTAGGATTTAGGAACCGAGTTAATTTGCATAAAGTAATAGATATTAGCTTTTATAAAATGTAGTGTGCCCAGATCACGAACTGGGTTTTGTCAAAAATTTGTTTGTGTGTGTGTTATTTTGTTATTTTTATTTTTTTGGTAGAGTGGTTAAATCTGACCACAACTTTTTTGAGGGAAATTTCTAACTCTAGTTTAGGATTTTGGGGGGAAAATGGGTGAAGAACCTATAGAACAATCTTTGATGCATAGCACTGGGAGTAACGAGATAGATCTTCCCATAACCAATTCAAGCTAGCTCAATTAGTGTTTAGTGGTTGTGTGAGTTGTTTTCAATGTATTGAGTTCTGGGTTCAAATTCCAGTATAGTAAATATAATATATATATATATATATATGTGTGTGTGTGTGTGTGTGTGTGTGTAAAGAAAAGATAGATCTGCCCACTTTGAGAGGATCACGCCTGGTTTAAGTTGTCCATTTGCAAGAAGCCAATCGCAATGCAAGCCAATCCTAGTTTCAAGCCATTTCTAACTACCGATGAATACTTTCCAGATACTTTTTTTTTCTCTGTCTTTCTCAATGTGATCACTTTAGATGCATATTGTTTGTGTATTCTCAAACACTAGTGAGGCTTCATTTTATGTTGTCTCAACGTAGTTGAATTAGCAAATCGAAGCAAGTATGGAAAGCAGCAGGGGACAGAATGGAATTCAACAACTGCTAGCTGCTGAACAAGAAGCCCAGCAAATTGTTCATGCTGCCAGAAATGGTAACTTTTTCTTTTATTGTCCATGTTTTCGGAGTTCTCCTGTTGCGTAATGGCAGTAATACAATGTATTCTATTGCATCAGATGCATTGTTTTGCTTAATATTGTATTACATTACCTTAAATTATATCTGCACTAAGAGGTGGAATATATGCTAGCCCTTCCCAATGCTACAAATACATTATAGCAACACCGATATTTCCTGCGTAGATTTGGCAGCTTTTACTAATTTTTTTGTCAGTACAATTTAAGGACTTATGTATGTTAGTTCTGTTGGTTCCCGAATCGAATTCGGGTGCGGAAGTGTGGGGAAAGGCGGATCGTGTATGACAAAAATTTTTATAAAACTTTTGAGATACTCTATAGATTATATTAATTTATGCACGAATAAATTAATTGCATTAATTTATATATCAAGTACTCAATCCGGAAAAATACCTGGAAGCCGACTCGGATGATAACTTGAGTTCTTTATCCACGAACAGTCCTTGCTCCAATCTTTGTGTTTAGAATACTAAAGTCTTCCACGTCAATTCCTTAATTCCGCGTAGACGTGTGTGTGGGCACACGTGAGACAAAACAGGTTTCTTTAAACACTCGAATTTTCACAAACACCAACGCATGCACGATGTGAAATTTTTGGAGAAAAATATTTTCTTTCTCTTTTGCTATTGAGAAATTCGGCCACACAAATCTAGTTAGGGCTGAATTATGTTTTAAAAATTGTGTCCACAATTTTCTATCATTCTCATATTTAAAGAGTAGAAGTTAAACTTCAAAACAATATCAAATCCCTATCTCCAATTTGAATTTTGGAACAAAAAATCCCTTTCCCTTATCTCCAATGTGGCCGGCTACCCTAGGGTTTTCTAACCCTGTGTGTGGCGCCAATTCAGATAGGGAAGGAAGAGAAAAAATCATCATTTATCCTGTAGTCTAATTTTGACTCAAATTCAAATTTCAATTTAAGTCAAACTTAAATTAATTTGAATTCTAAATTGAACAACTTATCAAATAAGTTTAAATGGATAAATCTAGATGTGTTCAAATTCAAATTTAAATAATCACATTATTTAAATAATAATCAATTCTCAATTAATTATTTTCGAGTATTTAATTTATAGAATTCCTTAATTCTAAAATTTCCCATTTTACCCTCTGTGTCTGGTAGAATTACTAGGACGACGCGGGGACTAATGGACCTATAATCCCGAGCTCCAATAAAATTAATAATCAATTAAACACTTTAATTAATTAATTAATTCTATTAATTCCAATAGTATATCTGCATCCTTGAGTACCATTGATTCTCTAATGGATAGTGATTCATAAAACACATTCATGAACCAGAGCGCTCTTACTAATCCAAGTACCGAATCAACACTCAAGAGAATTATTTATCTACTTCTTTCTCAAGAAGGAATGGAGTTCATCTCGTATAATAACATTCCCAGCTACCTATTTCATTATGTCTCCAAAATACAAGGAATAGGATTCAGGGTCTCAGAATCCGTACTGAGTAAATCAAAAGACATAAATCCATAAATAGGAGTTTGTTAAGAATTCAGGATTAAGATCATTCTATATATGACCATCGGTAGGCTTAATTAGAATTTCTATGTTTAACGAAAATTATTAGAAATTCATATTGTGTCTGTGTCCTTGTTCCACATAATCTTATTATGCGAAATACACTCATTCAATATCACGCTATATTAACAGTGCGGATAACACCGTTCCATTCTAAATGTGAATGACATGTATTAATAATGTTTTAATTAAAGATTCTGAACTTTAATTAAATTCACCATGAACAATGTTTTTTTATTATTATCCTTAAACACTATCCTCTCGTATATAACACTTATATACTATGTTTAAGGTTACATAAACAATCACGGAATTTTCATTTGATATTCATAAAATATTCATAAATATATGCACATAAAATGATGAATAAACTCTTTTATTAATTAAATAATAAATATCCTATTACATTTCATGTTTTTAGGACACTATTCCCAACAAATTCATCACCCTTGCTCACGCTAAACTTGGCACTTACCTTCAATGCCTTATTATTGCAAATGAACTTAGCCATTTTGTTTTTTTAGGTAAAATCACACAGAGATAATTAAAATTAGGCATGTCTTTATCATTGTTTACATTGTCCTTATATGAATCTGTTCAAATTGAAACTGAACATGGAGATCTATCTTTGTGAGCATACTTATTTTGCTGCTACGGAAATGGTGCTAGCCATATGAATTGAGTGCTCGATACTGGCAACTGACCCCTATTACTTTTCGTTCTTTCTTCTTTGTTTGTTTTTTCTTTCCCCAGCAAAAATGGTTAGATTGAAGCAAGCTAAAGAAGAAGCCGAGAAAGAGGTTGCTGAGTTTCGTGCCAGAATGGAAGCTGAATTTCAGAGAAAACTTGCAGAGGTATCTAAAGCTGAATTCCTGGTTTCTGTCCCAAAAAAAAAAACACACACACACATTTTTCTCTACTATTTCTTTGTGATGAGACCTTGAGTTCCATTTATTTTTTCTTGAACGGTTCTTTTCCTTACTCTTTAACAGAAGTCTTCCCAAGGACTATCTATCTGTAGAACTTTTAATTTTGTTTATATAGGATGTCAGCAAAATTTAGGACTCCCAGTTACCATTTTGAACATCAAGTGTTCAACTAGTTTTACATGCCAATTATAAATTAATGTTAATGTGTTCTCAAAACAACAGAGCAGTGGAGATTCAGGTGCTAATGTGAAGCGTCTTGAGCAAGAGACAGAGGCAAAGATCCATCACCTAAAGAACGAGGCTGCAAGAATTTCACACGATGTCGTACAAATGCTTCTGAAATATGTGACAACCGTGAAGAGCTAAGATCGCCAAGAAGCTTTGATGAACTATAAAATGCTTGAATACTCTCCCTTTTTCAGTCTGTATTTTTTGAAGTGAGAATGATTATTGCGTGGTAACGAAATTGAGATGCGTTTTGTTATGACATGTATGCTTATTAGTTGTATTGGTTGATTATGTTGTACTATGATTAACACAATAAAAGGCAACTTATGCTGTTTGTTCCAATGAATAAAAAGTTGGTACCTCTTGTTATTAGTACTTTACTGGCATGTTCACTTTTCAACCATTAAGGCTCCAATTTCTCTTCTTGTTATTATCATTATTGTAATGGAGAAAATTCTGATTAGAGTTTAAACGGATTGGAAAGGACATTACAGCATGGATCAGAATTATAACTTCACTTGTACTCCATTAAATGACATTTAAGTGGATGATGGAAAGATACTATTAAATTATGAAAGTACGAGTTCAGTCGTTGAAAAAAAAAAAAAAAAAAAACAAATTGCCATTTAAAAGCTAAAAATTTTAATGAGGTCAGATTGGGTTTTTTTTTTCCTCTCTATCTCCATTTTTAAACTGTTAAAATCGGGCTGCAATACATATTAATTTTTGGGTAAGTATGGTACGTTTTTCCGTTCATCATTGTTGATATCCAATAGGCAAATGTAAAGAACAAAAGAGTACACTTTTTCAAAATAAAATCTTGGAGACCCACTAAAGTAATAGTAAATCAACCTAAAAAGTTGTTACATCATTCTAGTTTGGGTATATGTAGTAATTAATACTTTGCTTGTTGAGTAAGGTAACTCATTGCAGAAAGATAGTACTTTCACAACTTCTGACTGCTGCAATCAAGCAATTGGTTCACCCCAAGTGAACTCATCACCAGAAACAATATTAAGCAAAGCCAAAAAAGCATGTCTTCAATGGCTCACTATTTGCCTTCTTACTAAATTATTCTTATTCAACAATCAAGGGTGCTTTAATTATGACTACTTACCAATAGGGTAAAAAAGCCTTCCCAACAATAAACGTTGCCTTAATTGTGAGTCCTACACCTCAATAAAAACAAAAAGGAAGAAGACTTCTTCTGGGGTCTGGTTAAGCTGAGAGCTTCTTCAATATAGAGAGGAGATTCCTTGAAGGTTATGCGGAAGTGCCGGCAAAAATTCTCTGAATTCGCAAGAGTAGCTCCAGAATAGAAAGTTGAGCATTCATGTGAATAAGAAATCTTGTTATTATGTCCAAGCTAGGATTGTAGTAAAAGAATATCCAATAGGATTTGCTCAGCAACTATTGCACAAGCAAATAGTCCAGCCCCAACAAGCACAGGCCTTGCTTTCGATAATATCTTCCACTCGGAGTCCTCTTTCTCTTTGCTGTGCATTGCCCATGCCATTGCTGGTGGCAGAATTCCATACAACATTGTCATACAGTACCCTCCCTATAGCATAGTAAAGTCAAAACACCCAAATTCATATAAAAGATTTTGAAATAAATACGTTTGTTCTGTACTTTTTGTCTCTACTGTTGGGTTGTTTTCATACCAATCTCTCCCTATACTTACAGCAATATCTGTGGCTGCGGAGAAAGCGTCAGGAAAAGCAGTTGACAAGAAAAGAGATGGAACAACCGCCACCAACATCGCTGTGAAACTGATCTTATGCTTTCCCCACCATTCTCTGAGTTCAAAAAGCATGTCCTTTCTCTGATTTAATCAGCAAAAATGTGTTATTGCTATCGAGTATTGTAATTTTACCTCTTTATAATTTAAACCTGAACAGGTGGCAAAACTTTGAGGGAAGACTTTTACTTGAAGCATTGGTGTTGAAGCAGAATCCAGATAGATTTTAGACAGTTGCTCCTTGAAAAACTCGGAGAATCCCAGAAGAGTTCCGATCAGTGACGTTCCAATTGCGAGGAGTGAGAAAGCTTCAACCATGTATGAAACACCACTCCATCTCTCACTGGACCAAGGGGAAAGTAGAGAATTCAACTGATTACTCATCTGTTGGTATTATCATCTAGCACGAAAAAAAAAATCTATCTAGAAGTTCATATTCTCCTTCAGAATAGTGGCACCTTTGTTTTTTAGACTCAAGTTTTACCAAGTAAAAGGTGTAAAGATGGACATGACATACTACATAAGCAAAACTAAAATGCAATTACCAGAGTTTACAGTAATCTGATTACCTCACAAGCAAGTCGACGGGGTCAACGATTTGGTCGCCGCTGGCAGAGAGGCCAAGGGCAATGGCATCCCAAACAAGTAGTGCTATCAATGGAACAAGACTACCAAGGAAAAGTGAGATCCTTAGTCTTGTGAGATCACTGCCCAGATAAGCACAAAGAACTGCAAACACAACAACACTGTTAGACAGGAGTTACCAAATTCAAAGCTCAAAAGTTGAATTTTCAAAGAATTTTTCCCTCTTACATGGTGCTATATCATGGTACACCAAAGAAAAGATTATCACAGGTAGTGTAGCAGGGACTTTTCCCCAATCTCCACTTCCGTCAAGTCCTGACCACCCTCCAGAAACAACTGCTAACACCTCTATCACTACTAGTAAACCTGCACATTAGTCTTTTCTACTATTGTTAGGGCAAACTTGGGCTAGGACTACTAAAGAAAACAACGCCATTTCTAACTGGTACAAATTCAAAGTCGAGAAAATACGAATGGCAACACAAACTTAAACCAAGGCCGAACACCCGAAACATTTGAGAATGTAATTTCGATTGAACTCAGGACTTCGATGCTATATTTGTTCACCGATTTGTTTTATTGTACTTAATACCAATTCGTTTTACATATAATACCTGTCATGGAAAGAGCGAGCAGTTGGTTAACTTGATCGTTTGCCCGTGTCCCACCCAGGTAAATGAGCATGGTGAGAATGGAAGTGAAAATGAAGCCTGATACAGGAGCTGGAAGATTGATCAAATGAAAGAGGATTTCCCCTGACTTTGAACTGTAAGCAACCATTGAAGTGTAGCCCAAGAAAACATAAGTCAAAGTGGCCAAAGTACCACCGAAGTCCCCAAGAGTCTCTTGAGCCATTGTTCTTATGGAAATAACCTCCAAATCAGACATCTCTTCTTCTTTCTTCCGTTTTCTTCTCCTCAAGTTCACATTGATCTCAACAAGCAAAAGGGCTTCAATGAGAAGAAAAGCCCAACATACTATCAAAGTTACGGAACTCGGAACCAATCCCTACCATGTAAATTACAAAACCATTATCTTTGTCTCAAAACTACTCGCGTTCTTTTGAAAAATGAAAATTATGACCAACAGCAATAAAAATAAGAAGTAATATTATGTTTTATTGCCTTACACTTTATTGGAGTTTAATAAAGTTTCTCCTCAATAAGTTTTCTATTAGTAATAATTGGGTAGTTTCCGTTACTTGTTAGTTTACTTTCCAAGTCATATTAGTGTACTTTTCTTATTTTTTACGTCCCTATAAACAAAGATAAGGTTTGTCATTGTAAAAAAAATGCTAGTATCACTATTTCTGTTACTCTCTGTATTTATTGAGTTCACATATCAAACAGTGAATACAGAGAGTGATAAAAAAAATAACAAAAAGAGTGATCCTAGCATTTCTCGTTGTTGTAATTCAGACTACAGACTTGATAAATATCAAACAGTGAATACAGAGAGTGATAAAAAAAATAACAAAAAGAGTGATGCTAGCATTTCTCATTGTTGTAATTCAGACTACAGACTTGATAAATTATAATGAATATTCAAACTTCCTCTATGGTTCATCCTCTCTCTCTCTCTCACCCTCCCTCCCCTACGTGTGAAAATCATGTAAAAGACTCACAGCTGGTAAAGCTTTCTGAGGAAGTGCAAGAATCCCTGAGCCGATACTGGTGCCGATTATCAAAGCAACTGCACCAGCAATACTTCCTTTCTTCTCAGCAACTACTTCAACATGATCTTCTTTCAATGGTACAAGATCATTATTCTTTGCCTTTTCTGCAGAAGATTTAACAAGCACTGACTTCTTCTTCTTTGGTTTCTGCTGCTGATTATCACGAAAGTAACAAGAATGATACTTAATGCTGCAAAAAAGAAGAAAAATAAGTCTTTATATGAATGCCATTTGAATTGAACAGATTGGAAATAGAGAAAGTTAATAAGGAGAAATGGGATTTTACATGTGAAATTTGATGCCATCTCTTGTGGTCTTTTGATGAAGCCATGATGGTTTTGTGATTGAATTATGTCTCTGCCTTTTGGATTGCAAACAGGTTGGGGAAGTCATGAGCTGTGAATCCATTAGAGATTTTTGGGAAACTAATGGAAATGTTTTATGACATGAGTTTCCAACAATATTGGAAGTGGGAATCTGATGAGATAGGGACCACTTGGAAGATATTTTAATGCTTTGCTCAATGCTCACTAGTTTCTCATTTTGTTATGTTTTGAAATTTGATGGGTCAAACAATAGGCTCAAAAAATACTTGAGAAAGATGAGTTTTTCTAATTTCTTTTTTGTTAATGGGAGATTGTGTGGTAGAGAGCACTTTCTAGTGTATGTATCTAACGGTCATGTAGTATCATAGTGAAAAGGTATGTAAATTTCATGTTCAAAAATGTTTTGTTATTTGTAATTTTGTTTTTTTAGCCCCTGCAAAGTTCCTTCAAAATAAGAAGTAAAAAGTCACCCGTTTTGTATAAAATTTATCATAGTTACAAAACCAAAGTAACCCTCCCTTCTTCTATTTCTTTTAATTCACTGGCCTTCTGAGTTCTAAGGGTAAACATACCAAGTCAAAATCTTCTTGAGGTAAAAATTGACAAGGAAACGTGGATCTCTCTGAAACGTCCTTTATCTTTTTATTTAAAAACAAAAATATGTCTTAAAAAATAAAAAACAGAAATGTGAAAGCAATTTTTAACCATTTTTCATTTTCTTAATGAACACCATTAGCACTATTTCTTTTATTCTTGTTTGCAAAGCATTTACTACCCAAATGCTATTTAGAAAATGGTTTTGTTTTTGTGTCATAAAAGACATGCAAAAATATTTCAAAAACAAAAAACAAAAATGCCCTCAATTTGGTCGATGAGAAATTTGCCTTAATTATGTCTGCGCAATTAAAAGATGGCCACAGTTTGTGAATATTTTTCATATGGCTTAATGCATATGTTTAATGACATTATTGACTTTAATAATGATATTAATTTGAATTTATTATATAATCGATTTTAATGATAATACATATAAAAAATATGGTAGGTATTTTATCCCACTATATGTGAGATTATTAATCTTTTTTAATTGAATTAAATCCCTAAAATTATGGCATTTCATGTTCAGTATCAAATACTTAGCTATTGAAATGCACGAGTTAAAACTTTCTCCATTCAAAGTGAAACACGTCATTAAGATACTAGCAACATAATTAAAATACTAGCAATATTATACTTAAAAAGCATATAGACAAAATCAGATTGATAAGCAGGGAAAAAAAAAACATATCATTACAATAATGAATATATCATTGTAGAAAAAAACATAAAAAAAAAAAAGCATAAGAAGAATAATTAAGAAGCGAACACAAACGTATGTGAGTTTTCTTATATTATCACTTCAATTATGATTATATCATTATAATAAAAGCATGAGGAGAAGAACAACAATTATGACACGACTACAAACAAATGTAATTTTCATATGTTATTATTATAATAATGAATATGCCATTATACACCAACAAACAATAAGTGCGCATATATATACATATATTCAAGAAATTCAGCTTTGAGAAAAATATGGAAATTAATTTCTAAAACTAAATGCATGATAAAGTCAACTTAAGAGGTATAGTTGTCAAAAAAACGTGGCTCGAAAAATCAGCCAATAAGTGATATTTGTGGAATTAAGTCATATTTTAATTTATTCTTAGAAAAGGGATAGATCATCTTAATAAATATCTCTTAAAAGTGTATGGGTCTTAATTTTTACTCCTCACTCTTAATTAATATCATTTTTAATCAAATAACTATATTAACAAAAGGTTACTAATCAAAAATAAAGAATAAAACTTCAGATTCATGTACTTTAAGAGTAAGTTAATAATTTTATCCAAATTTTTTCATGAAAAAAAGGAAACAAATACCCCTTAAAAATATATAAATCAGAAATTTTATCTCTTAATTTTGATTAATAACTTTTTTAATTAAATAACTGTATTAATATAAAAATATTAATTAAAAATTAGAAATAAAAATTTAAATTTATGCTCTCAAGAGTAAATTCTGCGGCATAAGGAAGCTAAAGCCATACCCACAGCCCGTGAAGGCAAAAGTTTAAAACATGGGTTAAATCTTCTCAACAAATTATGGACCACAAGCTTGATCCTAAGAGAGCCCAGATTTCCACTTTTAAGGCCCGGACCACAACAAACCTGAACTCATTATGAAGTTTCACAATATGTCAAACCAATCATTTAGAGGAGCGGAGAAAATCAGTGATCACTTTTGAATGCATTGTAAAGATTTTTAATTTTATTTTTAATTAATATCTTTTTAATTAATATAATTTTTTCATTAAATATTCTTTAATTAAGTGCATGGGGTAAAAATTTAAAACGCATGTATTTTAGCACGTATTTTAAAGAGTAATTGTCTTTTTTTTTTTTTTTTTTTCTGTAGAGCATGATGGTTTGTTCGGCATTTCTCCACCTTCAAACAATGGAGAGATAGTTTCCTCTGACCACTTTTTTTTTTTTTTTTTTGTCTGGAAATGGTTTCCTCCGACTTTAGTATAGGAAAATTAGGAAGAAAATTACTATATGCTTCTTTGTACTTCGAATGAATTGTACTGGTACATTCATCTATAGTTTATTTGTGTTTTTCCATTTGTATTTACTATTTACAGAAAAAAAAATGGCAAAAGAGAAGAAGTTGGTTCTATCATAAAATGTTTGCAGCATTAAAAAAGAAAAAAAAAAAAAAAACACCCAGAAAAAGCATCCACTACGCGATGAAAATATGTAATTTGATTGGACCGACAAAGTTACCATTATTGTTATGCTTAATATATTTTTTTTCCCTCCCTTGACCGTAGTGTATAAACATAATCATAGTTACTGAGTTTTATCTAATCGTTTATTTTTCACATGGTATAACTTATAAGACCTATACGCTATTATGCATTTATAAAATTATTGTTAGTCCACCTTTTATAAATTTAAGTTTTTAAGATAGATTGATAAACTAATATGGTATCAGAGTAAGAGGTTTTGAATTCAAACTTCCGTAATTTCATTCTTTATTCTCATTTAAAACTGTCATCATGTGTTGGGTTTTTAATATATTTTTAGGCTTAAATATTCACGTGTTAGGTTTTCTAATTAATTTACTCATACGATTGTCCATTATCCAGCCTACACGTAAGAGAGAGTGTTAAAATATAAAATTATTGTTAACCACTTCTTATAAGCTTAAGCTTTTGAGATGAATCGGTAATCTAATAATGCAATATTTTTTTTTTTTTTTGGCTCTAACATATGAGCTACATCCCCTATAATTTACCTAAATTTGTGTGGCCATATCACTACTTATAGTTCTAGGCTCACAATTGCAATAAGTTTGGTTAAAGAAAGATTATTATTTATTTTTTTATTTTTATTTTTTTTGCATTTTAATGTGTACTACAAGTGGTGGCACTATACTATGAAAAGTTTTTTTTTTTTTTTTTTTTTTTTTTTTTTCCCCGGGGGAATTTTTTTTTTTTTTTGTTTTTTATTGTTTTTAAAAGGGGGGGGCCTATATTTTAAAAAATTTTTTTTTTTTTTTTTTTTTTTTTTTTTTACCCCGAGGCAATATTTTCTTTTGTTGGTTGTCCTTACCTACCAAGGCCACTGGGACTAGGAGACAGGAGTCAAGAACAAAATCGCTTACCCACCAAGTTGGGTCTAAATGCAAACAATTTTGAGAGAAGTAGCAGTGCAATGGGTCTATCATTTTCCATGGAATCTTTGGACGTTAAAACAAAATGACATGGGGGGGTAGATGAACAGGGGAATGGGTTAGGGATAAATGTGAAAAGGACCTGACCAACTGGACAGGATATTGTGGACAAACAAGTCAATCAACAAGAGAGAGAAAATAAAATGGGAGGGAATATATTAGGAATTATTATTATTTTTTAAATATTATTTTAACCATTAACTTTTCACCAGTCTAATATACAAATGTGCACATAAAAAATTTACATAATGCAATACATTAAAAAGAAAGAAAAAAAAAAAAAAAAAAAAAAAGGGCAAAAAAAAGAAACGTCTGAAGATTAATTTCAGAAAGAGTTATAAATCATCAAGTATATTTGCCATAACTTCAACAGCTGTTTTATTTGTTGTCCCCTAGATAAATACCTCATTCCAAATCCTCACATAATCCTGTTCACTAGAAGCCAAAGCGCATTTATACTCCACAGACGTGCAACCATCACGTTGATGTTTCCTTGTGTTTGTGTAATGTGTATAAGGTTGAATTTTTTTCTGATATGAATCAATTTAGACTTGGAGAGAAAATCCATTTGCTATAATGGCAAGTGGGCAACTACTATATATACATATATATCTATATATATCATATATATGTATATGATTTATATATTTAAAAAGAAAAAAGTGGACAACTACTACCTTGCTATTGATTCGGGTAAGATAATGCTCGGGATGTACTGAAAGAGAAAAGGAAGGAAAAGCCAAAAAAATTTGCACAAGTAAGGCTTTTTATTGAACGAAGCAACTTACAAAAAGACATTTTGCATTGAAAGACTCTCTAACTTGTATTCATGCAATACAGAAGGAGGAGGGAAAGTACGGAGTAAATTTGATAAAGTATCGCAAATGGGCTTCATTCGTTTCACTGATTCGAGTTTTACTACAGTAAAAAGCTCTCATAAATAGTCACATCTAACTTTTTTATTACAGTAAAAAACTCTCATATAAAATCACATCTCAACTCGAATTCTAAACTCAAATCAGCAAAACGAAAGAGGCCGAAAATTAACATTCTCATGCAGGCGAAATGACGTACATGTTTATCATGTAAAAATTAATATTTACACGAAAACGAGCTCATTGCTACCTATAAGACGTTCCCGTCAAAACTTTAATTGCTATAACCAATTTGTGATCATTCTACAACACATTATTAAATCAAGGAATAATTTGTGAAAACAAAAAAAAAAATATGGAATAATTATCGAATTGGAAAAATTTTAGGGTTCGAAGTGATAATCTAACAATACATAAAAGAGTCAAAGCT